CCCCCCTTCCAGTCCAGGCACTTTCACCCCCCCTCCAGTCCGGACACTTTCCCCCCTTTCCAGTCCGGACACTTTCCCCCCTTCCAGTCCGGACACTTTCCCCCCCCCTTCCAGTCCGGACACTTTCCCCCCCCCCCCCCTTCCAGTCACACTTTCCCCCCCCTTCCAGTCCGGACACTTTCCCCCCCTTCCAGTCCGGACACTCCCTCCCCCCCCCCCCCCCCCTCCCCCCCCCAGGCCACTTTTAAGCTTTTAGCGCTACCACACTTTGAATGACAATTGCGCGGTCATGCAACACTGAACCCATATGAAGTTTTTAGCATTTTTTTGAGACGGATAAAACTTTATTTTGGTGGTATTTATTCACAGCTGGGATTTTTATTGTTTTTTTGCTATGTAAATGAAAGAGTCCAAACATTTTGGAAATAAATAATATTTCTTCATAAATCTTGACCAAAATGTGTTAATCTATCTTTTTAGTAAAAATAAAATAACCGAAATTAGTTTATAACCACAAGTTATCATTTTTTTTTTAAATTTTGACATTTTAATTTTATTTTTTTATATTATTATTTATGGGTTTTTTCACATACTGTCACCCTAGCAGTGTGGGGTCACCATGGTGACACTGTACTACTTGTGGGGGGTGATGAAGATTTTTTTTTTCTACACTGATTGCTTTTACACCCATAAAGGCTGTACAAGCAATCATTTCTCCTTCTCTCTGGATGCATTCCTGCAGCCATTAAGAAATACTGTGAGAGCTGTGATTGGTCACAGCTTGTCACATGGTACAGGGCTGGTGTGAATGACCCTGTACCATGTGATCTCTGTGATCATTCACAGATTTCACACGTAGTAAGCGATGATGTCAGAAGTGATATCTTGCTTACTACTATTCATGTGATCACGGATTGGTCAATCAGTGATCACATGATCAGGACCTCACACAGAGGTCCCGTACAGCGATTGGTGTACCATTTCATCTGTCTCCCTTTTTCTTTTTTTTTTATATTGGACCCTTCTCCCCACCCTACATCCTGTTCCTCCCTTCTTTGGGGTTCTTCCCTGATGTAGCCTTGTCTCAAGCCATGTGGGGGTGCTTGGGGGGGAGGGGGTTGATGGTATAATGGTGGCCATTATACCCCCACATGACATATAATTGCGAAGGCCTCAGCAAGTTATGGTATTGGGGAGGATCCATATAATTGGTAATAAAGGTTCAAACCCGTTGTATGTAGTCACATATCATTTATAGATTTTATTTATTTATTCTGACCTTTCATTATTATGTGTTTATTATTGTTATTATTGCAAGAAAATTATTTTGGCTATGATAGGTGGAGCGCTGTTACTTGTGACTCATATCATTTGGGCAGCACTTCCGCCCGGCAGTACTTGGGTCGTTGGTTTGAATCCCAACCATGGCACCACCTGCCTGGAGTTTGCATGTTCTCCCTGTGCCTGCGTGGGTTTCCTCCCACACTCCAAAGACATGCTGGTAGGTGAATTGGCTCCTGTCTAAATTGGCCCTAGTATGTGTATGTATGACTGTGAGTTAGGGACCTTAGATTGTACGCCCCTTGAGGGTTAGGAACCTTAGATTGTACGCCCCTCGAGGGTTAGGGACCTTAGATTGTACCCCCCTCGAGGGTTAGGGACCTTAGATTGTACACCCCTCGAGGGTTAGGGATCTTAGATTGTACGCTCCTCGAGGGTTAGGGACCTTAGATTGTACGCCCCTCAAGGGTTAGGGACCTTAGATTGTACGCCCCTCGAGGGTTAGGGACCTTAGATTGTACGCCCTCGAGGGTTAGGGACCTTAGATTGTACGCCCCTCGAGGGTTAGGGATCTTAAATTGTACGCCCCTCGAGGGTTAGGGACCTTAGATTGTACACCCCTCGAGGGTTAGGGACCTTAGATTGTACGTCCCTCAAGGGTTGGGGACCTTAGATTGTACGCCCTTCAATGGTTGGGGACCTTAGATTGTATGCTCCTCAAGGGTTGGGGACCTTAGATTGTACGTTCCTTGAGGGTCAGGGACCTTAGATTGTACGCCCCTCGAGGGTCAGGGACCTTAGATTGTACGTTCCTTGAGGGTTAGGGACCTTAGATTGTACGCCCCTTGAGGGTTAGGGACCTTAGATTGTACGCCCCTTGAGGGTTAGGGACTGATTGTGAATGTAACAATATATATGTAAAGCGCGGCGTAAACTGATGGCGCTATATAAGTACAATAAATAAATTTGTCTTTTTCGTGTATTGAATGCAGCAGCTGATTGGGTTAATATTCCAGTCTTGATTCTCCGGTACATAAGCGCAGTTTCCACTCGTAGAGCGACAAATTGTGAACAATAGAAAATTCTTCCTGGTTCCCAGCAGATAAAAGGTGACGCATTTTACCAGCATCCACCGAAGGTGATTTCCTCAAAAAACTGTCATTAGGTTTATTATCATTTTGAAAAAAGTCCCTCATTAACTCACATTGGGGAAATACATGATGACGTCTCCAGTGCAGAGATAAGTACAACAATAAAACAGAAAACTACATGTGCTCAGATCCTAGGCTAGATATACAGTTGTGTTGATAATACTAGCCGTCAGACATCACTAACCGGATCAATCACTGTTTTTGGTGGAAATGATATTTCTACATGGCAGATAATTTCCTAGCAGGTGTAGTAGAGTCATAGAAATCCAACAGACCCGACAGTCATGACATGCATGCTGCTGATTTCTGTGTCATTGAATCACTCATTGAGGGGCGTGTTTCACAATAATAGCCGTGTGGAGTTCTATTAGTGAGGTCATTCATTCTTTGATAAACAGTGGCAATTATTGCCCTTATTTAAGGAAGGAAGGCAGCAAATGTTGGACATGCTGGTTACAGTGCATTTCTCTCTGAAATTCTGAGGAAAATGGGTGGTTCCAGACATTGTTCAGAAGAACAGCGTACCTTGATTAAAAAGTTGATTGGAGGGGAAAACATATAAAAGTGCAGAAAAATGATCGGTTACTGCTCAGCTAAAATGATGGCAAATGCTTTAAAATGGCAACCAAAACCTGAAAGACGCGGAAGAAAGCGAAAAACTACCATTGGAATGGATAGAAGAATAGCCAAAATGGGGCGGACTCAGCCAACAATCAGCTCCAGGAAGATGAAAGAAGGTGTGACGTTCCCTGTGAGGACTCAGCCAAACAATCAGCTCCAGGAAGATGAAAGAAGGTGTGACGTTCCCTGTGAGGACTCAGCCAACAATCAGCTCCAGGAAGATGAAAGAAGGTGTGACGTTCCCTGTGAGGACTGTTACAATTAGAAGACGCCTATGTGAAGCCAAGCTATCTGCAAGAAGTCCCCGCAAAGTCCCACTGTTGGGAAACAAGACGTGTGCTGAAGAGGTTACAATCTGCCAAAGAGCACATTGACTGGCCTAAAGAGAAATGGGGCAACATTTTGTGGACTGATGGAAGTAAGATTGTTCTTTTTGGGTCTAGTGGGCGGGAGACAGTTTGTCAGACGACCCCCAAACACTGAATTCAAGCCACAGTACACTGTGAAGACCGTGAAGCATGGTGGTGCAAGCATCATGATATGGGGATGTTTCTCATACTACGGTGTTGGGCCTATTTATCGCATACCAGGGATCATGGATCAGTTTGAATCCATCAGAATACTTGAAGAGGTCATGCTGCCTTATGCTGAAGAGGAAATGCCCTTGAAATGGGGGTTCCAACAAGACAACGACCCCAAACACACACCAGTAAACGGGCAACATCTTGGTTCCAGACCAACAAGATGGGCACGTTATGGAGTGGCCAGCCCAATCCCCGATCTTCATCCAATAGAAAACTTGTGGGGTGACATAAAAAATGCCGTTTCTGAGGCCAAACCAAGAAATAGAGAAGAATGTGTGGAATGTGGTCCAATCATCCCTGGGTGGAATACCTGATCACAGGGGCCAGAAGTTGGGGGACTCCATGCAACACAGATGTACAGCAGTTCTCAGAAACAGTGCGACTACAACCAAATATTCATGAAGTCATTCAAAGGAAAGCAAAATCTTCAAACATTTCTCAGTTTATATAGTGAATGTTGGAGTTTGTAAAGAAGAATACAAACACTACACGGCCATTTTTTTTGAACCGTCTAATATTCACTTTTCTTCCATTTTTTTTAGAGGAACAACACAAATTTGATGTATTTTTCTTCACGTTGTGATTTGGAATAGAATGTGTCGTGTTCCCAATGCATTTGTGTGGATGGAAATAAAAGGATTAGAAGGATTTGCAGCTTTACTCACTTTTATCATCACACGGATATTATTCTGAACACAACTGTATGTAACCATCTGTACATTTAATCATTTTCATGAATCGTTACATATTAGCCATAGTATGTGTGTTTTTTTCCTGCGGCCCTACACAGTGGTGTAACTAGAACCTTGAGAGTTCCCGCTGCAAGAGCTCTGAAGGAGTCCCCTGACCCCCAGCTGGGGCCCATCCCTCCGATTCACAGTGGCGTGACGCCAGGGCACGGTCACAAGTGTGTCCCTGGTAGTTCCGCCACTGGTGTCAGTAGTTTTTTAAATATTATTTTTTACAATGTTTTTAAGAACTTCGCTGGGAGGGGCTTATAAAATAAAACAAACAAAAAAAAAAACAGTCTTTTTGGTTTGCAATGTCAGTGGAAACCCGGCTGCCTCCTAGAACGGGCTGGGAACCCGCACACTGGAAATTAATGCTTGATGCTGGTAAATGCATGTAAACGCAGTACGCACTTTAACAAGCGTCAGGCATTCTTTTGGCCAAAATAAATTTAAACATCATGCGTGCGACCCGACCTAAATATTATCCAAGTAGAATTCTAACTTTTGGCCTCACGCAGCACCAAGTATTCTATTTCTCGGGTATCTTAGGGACTGGTCACCCATGGTGAGGGAAGTGGTAAGACTCAGTGGATGGTCTCCAGATTACTCCCTTCATATATAATTTATATACAAGTTGTAAAGAGCTACACAAACTGTTGGCGCTATATAAATCCTGAATAATGTGTGGAAGTTTCTGCCTTATGTAAAAAAAAACTATTAGAATAGGTTTTTATATTTTAGAATTGGGGCCTCAAGACCGTCCATAATTTTAGAGGGTGCTTCAAGACCGTCCATAATTTTAGAGGGTGCCTCAAGACCGTCCATAATTTTAGAGGGTGCCTTGAAATTGTCCATAATTTTAGAGGGTGCCTCAAGACCGTCCATAAATTTAGAGGGTGCCTCAAGACCGTCCATAATTTTAGAGGGTGCCTCAAGACCGTCCATAATTTTAGAGGGTACCTCAAGACCGTCCATAATTTTAGAGGGTGCCTTGAAATTGTCCATAATTTTAGAGGGGTGCCTCAAGACTGTCCATAATTTTAGAGGGTGCCTCAAGACCGTCCATAATTTTAGAGGATGCCTCAAGACCGTCCATAATTTTAGAGGGTGCCTCAAGACTGTCCATAATTTTAGAGGGTGCCTCAAGACCGTCCATAATTTTTAGAGGGTGCCTCAAGACCGTCCATAATTTTAGAGGTGCCTCAAGACCGTCCATAATTTTAGAGGGTGCCTCAAGACCGTCCATAATTTTAGAGGGTGCCTCAAGACCGTCCATAATTTTAGAGGGTGCCTCAAGACCGTCCATAATTTTAGAGGGTGCCTCAAGACCGTCCATAATTTTAGAGGGTGCCTCAAGACTGTCCATAATTTTAGAGGGTGCCTCAAGACTGTCCATAATTTTAGAGGGTGCCTCAAGACCGTCCATAATTTTAGAGGGTGCCTCAAGACCGTCCATAATTTTAGAGGGTGCCTCAAGACTGTCCATAATTTTAGAGGGTGCCTCAAGACCGTCCATAATTTTAGAGGGTGCCTCAAGACCGTCCATAATTTTAGAGGTGCCTCAAGACCGTCCATAATTTTAGAGGGTGCCTCAAGACCGTCCATAATTTTAGAGGGTGCCTCAAGACCGTCCATAATTTTAGAGGGTGCCTCAAGACCGTCCATAATTTTTAGAGGGTGCCTCAAGACCGTCCATAATTTTAGAGGGTGCCTCAAGACTGTCCATAATTTTAGAGGGTGCCTCAAGACTGTCCATAATTTTAGAGGGTGCCTCAAGACCGTCCATAATTTTAGAGGGTGCCTCAAGACCGTCCATAATTTTAGAGGGTGCCTCAAGACCGTCCATAATTTTAGAGGGTGCCTCAAGACTGTCCATAATTTTAGAGGGTGCCTCAAGACTGTCCATAATTTTAGAGGTGCCTCAAGACCGTCCATAATTTTAGAGGGTGCCTCAAGACCGTCCATAATTTTAGAGGGTGCCTCAAGACCGTACATAATTTTAGAGGGTGCCTCAAGACTGTCCATAATTTTAGAGGGTGCCTCAAGACCGTACATAATTTTAGAGGGTGCCTCAAGACTGTCCATAATTTTAGAGGGTGTCTTGGTTGAAGGAAGGTTGTGAAACACTGGTCCATTCTTGATCTGGAAATGGCCACTTACCTGAGGTCTTCACAGGAAGGAAAAGCAGGAATGCTACCAGTGCCACCTACAACATATAAATGTTTCTGTAGTCAGCACATTGATACTAAATAATGAATAAAGATTACAACAGAAATATACATCTCTAATTGTTTGGCTTTTACACAGTATATGGTGTCATGGGGATAAATCAGAACAAGGACCACAGAGTCCACAATGATGATTGTTGGATCAGGAACTCTTCTGTGGACAAAGGCAGAACAAGTCCATGCGACCTGGGGGGTAGATAAAAGCTCTTGGGTGTGTATGGCCATGGGGGGGGGGAGGGGAATTCAATCACTTTACACAGCTTTTTTTGAGTCAGTGGGAACGTGTCACATATATCTAACAATTTTTCTGTTTTGCAGTTTTGCTGTTTTATTGGGGTTTTTTATTTTTTTTTTATTAAAATAGGGGGAAAAAAGGCATAAAAATAGTCATCAAGAGACAGTATGCAAGAATGTAACACATTGTCCTACAAGAAGCAACAAAATACTCAAAATTTTTTTTAAAAATGTACTTTCTTGTGTCCTGTTTTTAGGTTACTATTTTGAGCCTTTTTTTTTTTTTTTTTTTCCGCATTGCCACCGTTCAGGAAAGTGGTTTGTATTTGACAGGTGGCTGGGAGGAGTTATGTCCCATTTGACAGGTGGCTGGGAGGAGTTATGTCCCATTTGACAGGTGGCTGGGAGGAGTTATGTCCCATTTGACAGGTGGCTGGGAGGAGTTATGTCCCATTTGACAGGTGGCTTTGACAGGGAGGGGGAGTTTATGTCCCATTTGACAGGTGGCTGGGAGGAGTTATGTCTCTGCCTGTTAACCTGTAAAATCCCGCAGGACAGCACCACAGGCATTACATGCAGGTCAGATGTGGCCGGCCCCATTCACGTACCCCAGTTTCACACCTGGGCGATTTTCTGCAGAAACGCAGTACATTCCATGTAACATGATTTCTTATGGGACACATTCCCATCTCCACGTATGCACTCCGGTGCGTTTTTTTGGAAAGGGTTGGGGACTTTTCTGAATGCAAAACGTTGCATTTTTGGTTCTATAAACTTCAATGGGAAGGCTGCAGAACACCATGCATTGCGTTTTTGATGCGTTTGGTGTTTAAAATCTGCCTAGCAACAAGAAAAGAAAAATGGAAAAAAAAAAACCGCAGCAAAAACACAAAATGCAGTGCAGAAACTCAACCTGCGTAGGTGTGAACCTAGATGTAAATGGATTGTATGGCTGCAGTACTTTCTGCCAGGTACGACCTGTTGTATACATTTTGTAGCAGCATGTGCACAGCCCCCTCCGGACACCATGTTAGGCAGCGGGGCTGGACACTGTGCTTGTACCTTCCACTTCTACGTAGCACCAAGTACCCGACTCCCGGTATCCTAGCTCCAGATTCCCACCACTCTGCTGACTGGTTTTCTTGGTTACAACCTTGCTTGTTCATCTGCCTGCTGCCCACCTCGACCTCCAGCCTTACCCCAACTCTGTGTCTACTTGATGGTTTGGTAAATTTCCCTCATTTTGTTTTTGATGTCAACCATCTATAGTAGGGTGAGCTGGAAGTTTACACCCATGGGGTATCTGCCGCAGAAGACCAACTCATCCCGTGGGACATTCCTTACTTCCTTTGGCTCCCTTTCCTTAGATAAGCCTGCCCCATCATTGGGAGACTCAGATGGTCCACCATCTATGGTCAGGTTGAAGCTGCCTTCTTTCTTCAGCTGTCCTTGGTGCCCTACTAGCTGCTTTGAGGTAAGCCAATCCCAGTGCCCCAACCCCCCTCCTTCACAAAGGAACACACTTACATCAGATCATTGAATGAATAGATTGTCCATGATGACCAAACCCCATCTGATGTGCGTTAGACTTTGCTCCTCAAGGATGGGAATTCCTTAGGATTTTACATGACACCGTGAGTTTGTCCTGGATGGTAGATACATTTCCCCGATATTTGCAGTGTGGTCTCTTTATGGGAGACCGTTGCAGAGACAACCAGGACTTTGGTCTCAAGGGGGTTAAATCCCGGGTCAGGGAGGCTTAAATGGCAGCAGAGGGAAATTGGCAGTCGTGTCAGGGAAGTGAAGAGAGAGACTCACAGGCTGTGAGGCTAGTGGAAGCGCTCAGACAAACTGAGACACACAGGCTGTTGATCCCCCAATGTGGCCTGCCTGGCACCCTTGTATGTAGGAGTCTAACCCCCTGTATGGAGGAGTCTAACCCCCTGTATGGAGGAGCCTAACCCCCTGTATGGAGGATTCTAACCCCCTGTATGGAGGAGTCTAACCCCCTGTATGGAGGAGCCTAACCCCTGTATGGAGGAGTCTAACCCCCTGTATGGAGGAGTCTAACCCCCTGTATGGAGGAGCCTAACCCCCTGTATGGAGGAGTCTAACCCCCTGTATGGAGGAGCCTAACCCACCCCTGTATGGAGGAGCCTAACCCCCTGTATGGAGGAGCCTAACCCCCTGTATGGAGGAGCCTAACCCCCCTGTATGGAGGAGCCTAACCCCCTGTATGGAGGAGTCCTAACCCCCTGTATGGAGGAGTCTAACCCCCTGTATGGAGGAGCCTAACCCCCTGTATGGAGGAGCCTAACCCCCTGTAAGGAGGAGCCTAACCCCCTGTATGGAGGAGCCTAACCCCCTGTATGGAGGAGCCTAACCCCCTGTATGGAGGAGCCTAACCCCCTGTATGGAGGAGTCTAACCCCCTGTATGGAGGAGCCTAACCCCCTGTATGGAGGAGCCTAACCCCCTGTATGGAGGAGCCTAACCCCCTGTATGGAGGAGCCTAACCCCCTGTATGGGACGGAAGATTGTGGTGAGGTTATGATTCAGCTTCTGAAACCAGCTTTTGGGTCTGTTTATAGACTTTTGCTGAAGTAAGTTGTCTTTTGTTTTTCATGAACCGAAGAAATGAACCTTTTTGCTTTTACCAAACTGGCTGGCGGTCGTTCCGGAGCCACCCCACAAATCATCCCAACGTCTGTCCAACCCTTCCTGGAGCACCTCTACATCTTCACTCCTCGCCTATGTGGTTTCATCACATTCAGTGTTCCAGAAGGAAATGGATGATCAGAACTTTACATAAATCCAATAAATCTTCAGAATCTCACCTGAAGGAATGACTTCATAGTAGATCGTGATGCGACTTCTCTTCCTGGATGAAATACACACGAGTCAGTTATATACGGAAGAGTTTCTATCATTCTATGGCAGTGACTTCTCACTTACTAAGAAAAGGTTACAGATGTTGTCACATTTCCTTTACTTTGAAAACCAGATGAGCTCCAGAATACATTTTACATATTATTTTAGCTGCAGACCCGATGATTTGGACATAACTTTATCAGAACTGATATTTATCATTTTTTACTGTAAAAGAGTTATTGACATTGGTTGGGTGTAGTTAGGGATGGGAAGGGTTCAGTCAGGGAAATATATACAGTACTCCCAGGAGGCTACCCCCCCCCCCCTCACATTTGTGTCAATATTTGATTCTCTCTTTTCATGTGACAACACTGAAGAAATTACACTTTGCTACAATGTGACGTAGTCAGTGTACAGCTTGTATAACATGGAAATTTGCTGTCCCTCAAAATAACTTTTTTTTTTTTTTTTTTTTTACACAGCCATTAATGTCTAAACCGCTGGCAACAAAAGTGACTCCACCCCTAAGAGACAAGGTCCAAATTGGGCCCAAAGTGTCAATATTTTGTGTGGCCGCCATTATTTTCCAGCACTGCCTTAACCCTCTTGGACATGGAGGTCACCAGAGCTTCACAGGTTGCCACTGGAGTCCTCTTCCACTCCTCCATGACATCATCATGAAGCTGGTGGATGTTAGAGGCCTTGCAATCCTCCATCTTCCGTCTTCCACTCCTCCATGACGTCCTCATGCAGCTGCTGGATGTTAGAGACCTTGCGCTCCTCCACCTTCCCTCTTCCACTCCTCATAAGGACATCACAGAGCTGGAGGATGTTAGAGACCTTGCGCTCCTCCACCTTCCATTTGAGGATGCCCCACAGATGCTCAATAGGGTTTAGGTCTGGAGACATGCTTGGCCAGTCCATCACCTTCATCCTCAGCTTCTTTAGCAAGGCAGTGGTGGTCTTGGAGGTGTGTTTGGGGTGGTTATCATGTTGGAATACTGCCCTGCGGCCCAGTCTCCGGGGGGAGGGGATCACGCTCTGCTTCAGTCTGTCACAGTACATGTTGGCATTCATGGTTCCCTCAATGAACTGTATCCCCCCAGTGCCGGCAGCACTCATGCAGCCCCAGACCATGACACCCCCCGACCACCCATGCGGCCCCCAGACCATGACACCCCCACCACCATGGGGCCCCAGTGGCCAGACCATGACACCCCCACCACCATGCCCCCACACCATGACACCCCCCGACCACCATGGGGCCCCCAGACCATGACACTCCCACCACCATGGGGCCCCAGACCATGACACCCCCATCACCATGCTTGACTGTAAGCAACACACTTGTCTTTGTACTCCTCACCTGGTTGCCGCCACACACGCCTGACACCATCTGAACCCAATCAGTGTATCTTGGTGTCATCAGACCACAGGAGATGGTTCCAGTAATCCATGTCCTCAGTCTGCTTGTCTTCAGCAAACTGTTTGCAGGCTTTCTTGTCATCATCTTTAGAAGAGGCTTCCTTCTGGGACGACAGCCATGCAGACCAATGTGATGCAGTGTGCGGTGTATGGTCTGAGCACTGACAGGCTGACCCCCCACCCTTCACCCTCTGTAGCAATGCTTGACCACCACTTCTGACAGGGCACCATCTGACCGGCCCCCCCACCCCTACACCCTCTGCAGCAATGCTGGCAGCACTCATACGTCTATTTCCGAAAGACAACCTCTGGATATGACGCTGAGCACACAT